AACATCCAAGAACCCGAGGCACCTTCACAGTTGGACTCAAATGCTTCCCTGGAGACGGATGGCAATGCCTTCACGGTACCATCCAGAAGCCAGGAACCAAGCAGCACGCCCGTTATGGTCGAACACTCGGGTGGAAACATCACCACAACCACTGGCCAGAGCAGCCCCAGACAACAGGCCCCCAGCTCCAGAAGTTCCGGAAGTTCGCCGCTCCACTAGAGAGCAGAAAAAGCCAGTGTATCTAAGAGACTACATCTGCTAGGGTAATCTGGACCGGGGGGAAGGGGTGTTGTGTACCAAGTACGACAGCACACGTGGTTGGGTCCGCACGTGGCCATGCGAAGGGCCCTAGCTTTGCTCATAGAGACAATAGCCCGAACGGATCCTAGCCCACACCTTTTAGAGGGCTAGGATTCGAGTAAGAACCTATGGGACTCGAGTAGACTGTAAATAATGTATCACAGGTTTGGGTGGGTGTTTGGGTGTGATTTGCTGTGGGGATAAAAGCTGGCCTTGGGCCAGACTAAGCATCTCAAGTTCTCCATGTAACCAATAAAGTATGAGCTGTAATCACGCTACTACTCATCAGTCTCAGTACTTTATACAAATATTTGGGGCTGTGGTTGCCATATTGGGTTATACTTTAAGGGCTCGACTGTGATCTGACATCATCACTGTTACCCAGTTGTGTGCTGAGTGAACCTTGCAGGGCTGCCGGCACCACAGTGGATACTTGGCTCAGCTTGCTGCAGGGCTTTTTTTTTTTTTAATGCTCAGTCTGCTTCTGGTTCCCAGAATGTATCCTATGCTGTAGCTCATTATCTTTAATAAGAAGAGCAGGACCACAAATGTTTGATATTGCAAAACCAAAATCCACAAACAAAGTTATGGTCAATTAAATTAATCGTATGAAGCATGGTGCAATTAATTTACACAGAGGCTGTCATTAACTTTATTTTTTTGTATATTTATGCTGCCAATCCAAAAGCTCAAGGCCAACACATAGAGAAGGAAAGCAAATCATAAATATCTCAATAAAGAGATTTCAGTCAGCTCAAAATAAAGCTAGTCTTGACTGAACAATTCTCACTCATCACTTTACATCATGCCAGACTATTAAGTGAATTTCATCTACTTCCTGCTTGCACTAGTACAGCTTTTCTCTTAGTCTAAACGTCTTAGTGTCTAAACACTGGAGCCCAAACCCAATAAAGGCCAGGCAGAGGCTACACTAGTGAGCAGCAGTCCCTCTGTAACAAAGAGTCTCTCCAAGGGTCTCTTGCCTGTAAATTGGCCCCAATAAAATTGACTGCCAGTCTTTCAGCCACCAAATGGCATCTGGTGTAGCACCTCCCTTGAGCTGAATACAACCATAAAAGGGGGGGCCTCCCTCCGGAACTGGCCGTTGGCAGCCAAATGGCGGCCCACGAGGGGAGAGGTTATACAAAAAATGCTAAAGGGGGGAGGGAATTTTTGCCTTTCCTTAAACCAAGCTAATTAAACTGGGTCTTGCAGCTGCACTCCTTCTGCAAAGGCCCTACCAGGCTGGGAAACTCACACCCCAGCACAAAGGCCTTCCCAGGGAAAAAGTCCAGCACCCCCCCAGCACCTTGACCCAGACCCGGCGGTTTTTAACAACCCCTGGCCTCCAAGCCCCGCTCCCACACGAGCCCCCCGCTCAGCCCCGAGTACTCCCTGGCGTCACTGTCCTCCTCGATCATGAAGCCGCCACCCTGCTCCTCCACTCGCCGGTGCTGGGCAGTGTGCCCGATCAATCCTCCAACGATGCTGCTGTGCCCCGCGATGCCGCTGCTGCTGCCGCCATCAGGTCACCATGCAGGCCCGTCCGGCAACCGCAGCCCCTCATCCACAGCGTCCTGCTTCTCCGAGCACGAGGCAGCAACTGCCTGGGCGGGAGCGGAGCTGAGTCTAACTAGGCTGGCTCCTCCACGCCCCAGCGTGCTGCGCTGTTGCCGCCCCGCCCTCCTCCGCTGTGGCAAACCAGCCCCCAGTCACCATTGCCTTTGGCGGCGACCGGGAGCTCCCTTCTCTTAGTCTCACTGCCACTACTATAGCATTATTCCAATTATCAGTCCTGGCATTTTTAAATACAAGAATGGTAATTTGGATTATCCTACACTTAACTTTCCAACTATGGGATTGGTGAGTATTTATGACAATGCAAATCCATTCTCTGAGATCCCCTTAATGCCAGTGGACATTTAAAGGTGAGTTAGTGGGAGATGGAAACAGTGCTTAGTAGGGATGGGTACGAACGGAGAGATGAACTGTGGTTTGAGCATGAACGAGGCCAGCTCGTGGTTTGTTTCAAACCAGTTTGTTTGGTCGCATCATTCCTGAATCCAAAAATGAACCACCTTTTTTCCATGGAGGTTGATTTGGTTCATTGGAGTGGTTCATTCTCCCAACAGCCTGGCACTGATTCAATCAATTCCTGGGCAACACTGTGGAGAGCCCTAGAAACACCCAAAGCAGTTGTCCATAGCTTGATTGGCAGCTCTGGGAGCCAATCACGGATCTCCCATTCTGCTCTAGGGGAGTAGATTGTGTATATATACCACAACCTGACTCAGCTTCTTCCACTTTGCAGCAGGAAGAGTCAGGAGTTAGTTATCCATGTGAGAGTGAGTTAGGAAGAATTGCTTGCTATGTGTCTAATTTAAGGGGAAGCTGGAGCTGAGCTTTTCTGAGGGTACCTGCCTTGGGGGTCTATAACTCAGACATTCCACATCCAATCTTTGCCAAACCTGGAGGGTGAGTGGAGGAAAGTCTGCTGAAGACTTCCTGTGAATTTGGTGTCTCTAACTTGTGAGGGGGCTGTTTTACCATCTCCCAAACTCCTGAATCAAATGAAACATGAACCACCATTTACTGTGGTACCATTTCTCTGGTTGGTGAGAACAGAAGGAGAGCTGTGCACACTGTCTCTTGCAGCTTTTTAAAGGGCAGGGACAATGCTGTGGAGCTGAGTTAGGACAACAAAAATTGAAGCCTGATAAAGGAGAAACAATCCAGTGAATACCAAATTGTTCCTCTAGGATGTGCATTGGTGTTTAAACCATTCAGGAATGTTAGAACATGCCCCTTTTTGGTTTTCAGCAGTTCTTAAGGCAATGTGACTTAAGGCACAACATTATTACAACATTCTGCTGTACTAATGTCAAAAGCTACCTCTCACCTCCATCACAACATAGTTTAGATAATTCACAGAAGAACAAAGAACAGTTGAGAGACCCATGAGCAGAGATTATCTATCTTTTTTAAATCTGGGTTTTTAAAAACTTATTTTTTACTGATATATAGTATAACTCAGTTGAGTCACTGTTTACAATATCTTTACTTCTCGCAGTCATTTACCCTCTGCCCAGTTAACCAGCTAGTATAAAAACCAGAAGCAAACAATCAGATTATGATATTGGTAAATGGCTTTACACAGATTTGTATGTCAAACACTTTATTTTGAATTTTCTTTTGGGATGTGGTTAGAAAAATGTGAAAGTGACATGTGTATGGAAGTACTTTGTTCCACACAGATTGGGAACCAAGTGTGTAAGCGGCCTGTTTCCAGGTTCCATTCAGTTACTGAGATTATATACATGGCTTCCACCACCTTATTGGGAACCAAGAGGCAGTACCAATTTGATGGTCAGCACCAGTGTTCCCTCTAAGCTGAGTTCGTGTGAGCTACCTCACAGTTCTTTAGCCTCCGGCTCACACATTTTTGTCTTGGCTCAGGAAGGGTGGCTCCAGAGCAAACTGATTTATGCAGCAGCCAAATTGCTTGCTCACAACTTCAATGCCAGTAGCTCACAAAGTAGAATTTTTGCTCACAAGACTCTGCAGCTTAGAGGGAGCATTGGTCAGCACACATAGCATGATTTTTTTTGTTTGGATAGTGAACATAAATTTAGGTACAGATGGATATGCTTTTTGGTTCATTGGGTTTCCATATGTTGTAATAGTGCAGTTCACAATCATTGCTAGTATTAGTGACTGATTTTCTCCTTTTGCACAATTATATGCTATTTATGTGCAGTTTCCATGTACATATATTTTATATTCGTGTATATAGATAATATATATCACATATAATGTTTAATGCTGAAAAATTCATATATTTTAAATGTGAATGTAATGCAAGGAAATAGAAATTGTGTAAAAATAAAGATTCAGTGGTTTGATTTGCACAAGGGATATGCAAAACTAAAAGTGGGTTTTCAAGTCATCACAGCAGGGAAAGAAGATTTGATGGCATCTCTAGTTAGATCTAGTCATCTTTCTCTCAAAAAACAGATGATAGGCAATGGATGATTGATGGTATCACCAATACATTTGACCAACACGTAGAGATATACCCTGAATTGAGATCTATACCCTGGACTGAATCAAGGCCATACTATATTTTCATAAGTACCTTCTATTTCTAGGTTAATTTGTTGCTTCTAGTATAGCAGAGCAAATGTATTAGTTTTTTGTACACCTTCAAGCAACACACAAGAACAAGATTTCTTTTCCCCTTCTATTATGTTTGCTCTTGAGTGGCAAGAAAGTCTTATGAGGTCTTTTTGATCCAATGTTAATTTTGTAAATTGCATTCCTCTTTCCCATTTCCCATGAAAAAGGTATTCTACCCAATAAAGACTCTTAGGAAATTGTAATGGGGCCCTTGAATTCAGCCGCTGGGGGAGAAAAGCCATCTAATGGAAGCTGTGAAAATATCAAAGGTTTTATGCCTTTGAGGCAATTTTTATTCCACACACAGTAGAAAAAACTCCTTTATTACAACGTATGAGTGTTTAAAATGGTTTCTCTTGTACAACCTACTGCTAAATGCTATGTATGGCATTAGGGAAGGAGTAGGGTTATTTGTTTGAGAATCTCAGTGCTTTTATTTAGTCTGATGTTTTTAATCCTGTTCTATCTTTAAAGCTCAGATTTAGGACATTTTAATTGATATATTACCTTTGATCTTTCTACAGTCTTTTCCTGGTCCAAGCCTTGAAAGTGAAGATTTTAACATACCTCCCATCACTCCTCCTTCATTACCTGAACATTCACTGGTACATTTGAATGACACAGAATCTGGTTACCCTTCTTTGTGTCACCCAGTCAACCATAATGGCCTGCTTCCTTTCCATCCACAAAACATGGATCTACCTGAAATCACAGTCTCCAATATGCTTGGACAAGATGGGACACTGCTTTCAAATTCACTCTCAGTGGTAAGCCTTTTATATTTATAGTCTATTTCAAAAGTCTGCTTCATGTACTCTTATGACAGCCTGTATCTTTTGGTCTTTGGGATGTACTACTGTTCTGTGGTTCACCAGTATAGCTTTTGTAAGGATTATATCTAATGTCCAGTAAACCTGTGTTCACACACAGTGAGTTCCTTCATTTTGACAAGGATATGATTCTAAGCAGCTATCTTTTTTCTGTATTTGCTTCATAGAGTTCACTTTGGAACACGTGTAAAACACAGACCTAGTACTGATTTTTCTTGCTTACTATTCTTCTACATGCTTGTCATTCTAGTGTTTTAGATTGTACATTTGAATTTTTTAATTATTGTGGGTCAGTGTTGTACCATAGACTTACTGTTCTCTTGGGCTGACAACTTATTTCTAGTCATTCTGAGAACTTCTTCAGCTTGCGTACATTTTATCTCAGGAATGAAGTAAATTATCCAACTTTACATAAAGGAAAGTGATCTGAATTACATGAAGGGACATAACAACTACTATAAAAGTACCTGAAGAAGATAAGGGTAGCACTTGGCACTTCAATAAAGTGCTCCAGCAGTGTTTCATTGACTTGACCTCTTCTGTGCTAAGGTTAGAGTTTGGATGCTAAGTGTTCTCTTAAGTGCCGAAGTTTCATATCTGCCTCTTGCAAAGAAACGGGAACAAAAGAACTTTGAGCGCTTGTAGATTATCAAACTGAGCAACTGGAGGAAGAGGAAATAGCTAAAGGCCAACTGCTATAACTAGTCTTTTGGAGTCTTAAGGTACAACAGGAGAGAGATAACTCAAGGGTGAAAAAAAGCCCTTTGAATATGTTGTCTGCTGAATGAGTTCCAGTTAGGTTTGATTTAAAATGAAGCACAGCAATCTATTTGGGGTGGCACATCTTTTTTATTATTCAGTCCAACTCAGTCCTTTTAAAAATAAAACTGATAGCTTTGGCCTCAGTTTTCTTATAAAGCACAAGCTGCTTTGTATTGACTACCTAGGAGTGTATTTTTCTGTAATATTGAAGGAAGTTTAAAATCCCTGAGAGTGTCTAACTTAAAACATCAACTGCTTTTTTTCTTGCTTTGTCTATACTGTACTTTTTTTTGCAAAGTACTATAATTGCTATCACTGCCCCATTAAAAATGTGAATTAACTAACCTTTGCAACCCAAATTGTGGCTGATAGGTTCCACCAGGCATTTGTGGATAGTTCCATGGCATAGCCTCAATTCTGATGCAAGTTGCATTCTCTCTTTCTTTCCCTCCCTCTCTTTTCTTTCCTCCTTTCTTTGTGTATAAGATGTGAGTACAAGGTGCAACAGCCCATAGTTCTGCAAAGAGGGAAGAATAAATGAAAATCACATTATAAACAGCTGCATCCCCAGCTCCTTTACATGTTGCAATGTGGCCCTCTTCTTCCTATTTCATATGTGTTTGTGGTATAGTATCAAGGCTACCGGCACAATACAATATAGAAGTGATACAACCGATAAAGGCTTGAAATTATTCCTTTATCAAAAGTAAGTGCATACTAGATTATGACCTCTGTATATAAGAAGAACATGGCATTCACATATATATTCTCTTTGTTCAAGAGAGTACTATGCGAAGGCTGCGAAGTATGCTCCTATAAAGTTATCATATAAACTGCTTTCTTTAAACAGTGTTCAGTGCGATTAAGCTAGTGAGAGGGATCCTTAGTGTGCTTTTAATATAACATTTTTATTTTGTTTATCCTATTGTCAAGTTCATCAAAGCTGCAATTGCAATTGTTCTGCCAGGTATTCTATATCCCAGAGAATGGAGTCTCTGTCTGTAGTTTTCAGCTAGAATGTCTGCCAGTTAAGAACCAAGTCCTGCAGCAATTGGTGTGGATTAACCCCCTGGAAATATAGGCTGCTCCGTTCCATTCCACCCTAAAAGCAATAAGCTGCTGCTGCTAATATTTCCTGTTTCTCTTTCTTTCTGAACCCCCCCCAAATCTGGAAGTTACTCTTTCTCCTGTACATTCACAGCAGGCTCTACAAAAAGTACTGCACAGAAGAGTCAGTCATTGTCTCACCTAAGCACAGCCTTCTTTTCCCATTATAAGACTCCCTCTAAGCTGCAGAGTCAACATGGATGGTGTTGGCTATAAGGTTGTATAGAACTAATAAATGCTTGTGGGCAGGGGTACTGAGAGTAAGAGAGGCTACTAGCAGCTGACTACTATATAAATCTTTTACCCCACATCTTCCTCACATCCCTGCCTGAACCCCTTTTTTCTGCTGCCCTCTCTGTGTTTTGTTAAAAAGCCCCTTCCGTACACCTCAGATCTTTTATACAAAACTTACCCTCATCATCCTGACCTAACTCCTGAATCTATCACCTTTCTTTTTCTGCAGGCCACCTGATTCCTCTTTTGTCCTTTTTCTTTACGGAGCCTGAGATAGCAATTCCAAAGCTACTCAATATAGCACTTATTGGAAAGTATTGAGAAAAGACTGCATTCATTGATGTTGGTTATTTGTCAAAGTAAGAAGCCAAGACTAACATTTTGCATTTAAAAAAAATCTATGTTAGATGTCTGTTATATGCATGGCCATTAAAATAGAGTACACCATATTAAACATTATGGCATATTTTGGAAAATAGAGAAAGAAAAGATAAGATGGATTTCATTCTCTCTGAGTGCTTTAAATTTTAAACTGTGAAGTTAAAAGTAGGAAAGACACTAAAAGTCTGTAAAAGTGATGGATTTATTTTCCAAATGCTTTTTTTTGTACTGGCAACAAAAGCTACATAATGTGGGTTTATTATCTCTTTTAGCATATATTCAAAGCACACTTTGAATTCTAAGGGCTACTGAACAAGTGTTTTGACAGTGATTGTGTCAGTAGGTAGAGTGCAGGACACATAAGACTAAAGCAGAAATGTTTCTTTAGGTCTGCAGGTAATATAGCACATCAGTAAATTCAGATGCATTACAGCAGCATTTCTAAACTGCTGCAATTATGGATGAGTCTGCCAGCATCTTGAATAATGCCATCTTCAGAGCTAAACAGGAAATATGATTACAGGCCATTGTTGTTGCTAATTCTGAACTCTGTTCACAGTCTTGTATTTTATTTTACATAATGCATTCAATATATTAGAGTGTTCATGAGCAAAAGGTATGTAGGACATGAAAGTGTGGGTGCTATTGTCTAATTATTAAATACAGAATAATAGATAGAAATATTCATTTAAAAATAAAATGGATCTTGCTCATATCTATATAAGGAGATCATTCTTGAGATATTCTTCCATCACATGATACAAACCAAAGGTTGTGAATAATTAACTAGCTTTAAGCACCACTGGATCAACCCAAGTGTAGTTAACTGTTATTTTTATAAGAAAGCTCATAAGAGAGTACCTTACACCAAACAGTGAAGGAAATGGAACACCTCCTCTACTTTCTGATTCTATACCATGTAACATAAAACTGTTTCTTCTCTGAAAATTGATAGTTGCTAGTAAATCTTATGAGAGGAATTGCTGCTGAATTGCAACTGTTACTGCACTTTTGACCCTTGTCCTGTTTTACATGTAGTGCTTTATTCCACATAACTTTTATTTTCTGAATGACAGTTTCCAGGTGCCACATCAGAAACTGTCTCACAGTCCCGCCTTTTGCTTTTCAAAATCAGATTCTAATATGGTACCTGCTAATGAATAAAGAATGTATGAGGCTCCATCACATGGAAGTGGTCCCTGTATAGACTTTAATGCAATATTTATTTGCATTAAAGAGCCAGTTTGGTATAGTGCTTAGGAGCGCAGACTCTAATCCAGGAGAACTGGGTTTGATTCCTCACTCCTCCATATTCAGCTGCTGGTATGACCTTGGGTCAGTCACAAGTTCTCTCAGGGCTGTTCTAGAAAGAGCAGTTCTTGAAAGAGCTCTCTCAGCCCCACCTACCTCACAGGGTGTCTGTTGTGGGGAGGGGAAAGGAAAGGAGATTGTAAGCTGCTCTGAGACTCCTTCAGGTAGTGAAGTGTGGGGCATAAATCCAATCTCCTCTTCTTCTCTTCTTCCGTTTTTGTTAACTTAAAATTAAAAGGTCAAGGGTGGGAAAATATATTTTGAACATATAATACTATGCATATGAACAAAAAAATAAGGAAGTCCTTAGGTATATGCAGCAGCAGGACACAGATATAAGTAACAAATATTTGTTTGTGCCCCTTGCTGTCACCATAGCTTTAGTGCCAACTCAGTAGTTGCAAAGGACACTATTATTCAATGAACAGTGATTTGTGAATTACAACAAAACCACAATACATACTAGCTATAGGAATAAACCAAGAGCAAACCAGAGTTTTAAATACTTGCCTTGTGCCAACCAACTTCAGTCTTTTGGACTATTTCCCTTCAGATGTCACAACTAATCAGAAATTGATCAAACCATAGTTTACAGTTAGACCATGATTTACAGTAATATCTTAACTGTGTGGGATGTGATAGAGATTTATAATTTTATATATGTGATGGACAAGTAGATAAAGATAACCTTTTCTCTTCTCCCATAATATTAGCACTTGGAGCTAGCCAATGAACTTGTTGAACAATAGATTCAGGACAAATACTCAAGAAGTAATTACTTCGTGGAGTTCACCACTAGTGAATATTGTGATGGTCATAAGCATGGATTGCTTTAAAAAAGAGTTTGACAGATGAATGGGGGATAGGTTCATCAATGGCTTACTAGCCAGGGTGACTAAAGGGAACCTCCATATTTAGAGGCAACATATTCCAGGGCGAAGAGGTAACATCAGGCCTTGACCTCTGTGCCCTGTTCGTTGGCCCTTCAGGTTAACTAGTTGGCCAGTATGTGAAAGAGGTGCTGGTCAAGATGCACCACTAGTCTGTTCTTATTTTCTAATGACTATTCTACCTTTCTGCCCTGGTTAGTACTTGAATGGGATACCCCATAGAGAGGCAGACAATGGCAAACCATCTCTGTT